TTTTTTTTTGCTTTCAATTCTTTAGTTATTTGTTTGCATGTTTAGATGGAAGATAAAACCATGAGCTTCGTGGATATTGTTTTATTCATCAGACGAAAAGAAGTAATCATAAGAAAAATTTGATAGTCCAACTTGATTGTCTCAATTTTAGAAGGCAGATTCTAAAATGAGTAATCCTAGAATTTAGCTGTGGTAACATCTAGTGCTGTATACATTTTGTCTTTATAGCCAAATAGCTACATAGAATTTTCATATTATTTATTTTTTATTGAGGTAAAATGTACACATATGATATAGAATATACACATCTTTACCTTTTTGGTTGGTGGTGGGGGCAGAACAGAGCCTCACTCTGTCACCCAGATTGGAGTGTGGAGTGCAGTGGTGTAATCTCGGCTCACTGCTACCTCCATCTCCTGGGTTCAAGCAATTCTTCTGCCTCAGCCTCTCAAGTAGCTGGGATTACAGGCGCCTGCCACCACACCTGGCTAATTTTTTGTATTTTTAGTAGAGACAGGGTTTCACCATGTTGGCCAGGCTGGTCTCAAACACCTGACCTCAGTTGATCCTCAGCCTCCCAAAGTGTTGGAATTACAGGCGTAAGCCACCACATCTGGCCATCTTTACCATTTTTAAGTATACGGTTTAGTAGTAATAAATACATTTATATCTTTTTTTCCTCCCTTCACCTCCCCCCCATCCCCTTCCTGGCCTCTGGTAACTACCAGTCTGTTTATCTTTATGAAATCCACCTTTTTTTTTTTTTTTTTTTTTTTTTTTGAGACGGAGTTTCTTTCGCTCTTGTTACCCAGGCTGGAGTGCAATGGCGCGATCTCAGCTCACTGCAACCTCCGCCTCCTGGGTTCAGGCAATTCTCCTGCCTCAGCCTCCTGAGTAGCTGGGATTACAGGCACGCGCCACCATGCCCAGCTAATTTTTTTTTTTGTATTTTTAGTAGAGACGGGGTTTCACTATATTGACCAGGATGGTCTCGACTTCTTGACCTCATGATCCACCCGCCTCGGCCTCTCAAAGTGCTGGGATTACAGGCTTGAGCCACCGCGCGCGGCGCGAAATCCACCTTTTTAACTCTCACATATGAGTGAGAACATGCAATAGTTATCTTTCTGTGCTTGGTTTGTTTCACTTAACATAATGGCCTCTAGGTCCATCTGTGCTGCTGTGAATGACAGGATTTTATTCGTTTTTATGGCTGAATAATATTCCATAGTGTATATATACCACATTTTCTTTATCTATTCATTTATTGATGGGCACTTAGGTTAACTTCATGTTTTGGCCATTGTGAATTGTGCTGTAATAAACATAGGAGTATAATGATCTCCAGTATATTGATTTCCTTTGCTTTGGATATATATACCCAGTAGTGATATTGCTGGATGCTATGGTAGTTCCATTTTTAGTTTTTTGAGGACTCTCTATATTGTTCTACATAGTGGCCTTGCTAATTTGCATTCCCACCAACAGTGTATAAGTATTTCCCTTTTCTCTACATCCCCGCCAGCATCTGTTACTGCCTTTTTTTTTTTTTTGAGAAGGAGTCTTCAGAGTCTTCCTCTATTGCCCAGGCTAGAGGACGATCTCAGCTCACTGCAGCCTCTTGCTCCCAGGTTCAAGCGATTCTTAGACTCTGCCACCCAATTAGCTGTACTACCATGCCTACCTAATTTTTGTAAATCCCAAAGTGCTGGGATTTACAGCTGTGAGCCACGGTGCCCAACCTTGCCTGTCTGTTTGATACAAGCCATTTTGACTCGGGTGAGATATCTCATTGTGGTTTTGATTTATATTTCTGTGATTAGAGATTAGCATTTTTTTTTAATATAGCCGTTGACCATTTGTATGTGTTTTGAGAAAGGTCAGTTCAGATGTTTTGCCCATTTGTAAACCAGATTATTTGGTCTTCTGCTATTGAGTTTGAGCTCTTTGTATATTCTGGTTATTAGTCCTTTTTCAAATAGACAGTTTGCAGAAACTTTCTCCTGTTCTTCAGTTTATCTCTTTACTTTGTTGATTGTTTCCTTTGCTATACAGAACTTTTTAGCTTGGCATAATAATACCTGTTATCTTTCTTTGCCTCTGCCTTTGAGGTCTTACACAAAAAAAGCTTTGCCAAATCAATGTCCTTCTTTCATTTCTTTGGTTAGGTTGATTCCTAGGTGTTTTATATATATTTTTGTAGCTATTGTAAATGGAATTGCTTTCTTGGTTGCTTTTTCAGATTGTTTACTGTTGGTGTATATAATGGCTACTGATTTTTTTCATTCATTCATTCATTCATTTTTAAAGAGACCTTCAAAGCTACTACAAATCAAGGCTACTGATTTTTTAAAATTAATTTTATTTTTTAAGAAGAGATGGGATCTTAACTCTATTGACCAGGTTGGTCTCAAACTCCTGGCCTCAAACAATCTTCCCAACTCGAACTTCAAAAGTGCTGGGATTACAGGCGTGAGCCACTATGCCCAGCCCTGGTTGTTTAATGTTGATTTTGTCTCCTGCACCTTTACTGAATTCATTTATCAGTTGTAGCAGTTTTTTTTTTGGTAGGGTCTTCAGGTTTTTCTAGGTATAAGATCATGTAGTCGGGAAATAAGGCTAATTTGACTTCTTTCCTCCCACTTTGGACACCCTTTATTTCTTCTTCCTTCCCCCTGCCACCAATTGTTGTGGCCTTTATATTATTTTATTAAGAATTTAAAACCTAACCAAAGAGTCATTTTTTTCTTCTCCAACCTTTTCAAAATCTTCCAAGTCTTTTTTTTTTTTTTTTTCCTTCCTTCCTTCCAAAGTGTCGCTTTGCCACCCAGGCTAGAGTGCAGTGGTGCAATCTCAGGTCACTGCAGCCTCTGCCTCCTGGGTTCAAGCGATTCTCCTGCCTCTCAGCCTCCCTGAATAGCTGGGGTTACAGGCCCCCACCACCATGCCTGGCTACTTTTTGTATTTTTAGTAGAGATGGGGTTTCGCCAGGTTGGCCAGGCTGGTCTCAAACTCCTGACCTCAAGTGATCCACCCACCTTGGTCTCCCAAAGTGCTGGGATTACAGGCATGAGCCACCACACCCAGCCTAAAATCTTCCAAGTCTTAACTGCAGTTACTTAACTAGTTCTGATCAAGACCAACAAAATTAAGAACAGTAAGTAAAAGCTTACAAATTACAGTTAGCTTTCAAACCTCATGACCTATAGTTTCTTAGTATACAGTAAGGGAGAACATTTTGTAGGACATTGTACTGTTTCAGTAGGTGGCATTCTGTTGTTCTGTTGTCTTCTGTCAGAGAACTTAAAGAATCGTCAAAATAATATTTGAAATTAGTACTTTTTTTTTTTTTTTTTTTTGAGACAGAGTTTCACTCATGTTACCCAAGCTGGAGTGCAATGGCACGATCTCGGCTCACCGCAACCTCTGCCTCCTGGGTTCAGGCAATTCTCCTGCCTCAACCTCCTGAGTAGCTGGGATTACAGGCACGCGCCACCATGCCCAGCTAATGTTTTGTATTTTTAGTAGAGACGGGGTTTCACCATGTTGACCAGGATGGTCTCCATCTCTCGACCTCGTGATCCACCCGTCTTGGCCTCCCAAAGTGCTGGGATTACAGGCTTGAGCCACCACGCCCGGCCTTGAAGTTAGTACTTTTGTACTCAAAAATTTATTTTTCTTTCTTGTTCCACTCATTGGAATAAGAAAAGAGAGATAATTTAGTGATGTGTATACTTAAGCATTAAAATTCATGTCATTCATCTCCAAATATTCATGCTGTAGGAATGGATATATACCAGTAACTCACATTTTTCAATAATTCATGAAATTCACATCAAAATTCCTATTTTGGGTCAATAAGTATTGTTTTTAATCTTAATTTTTTTTTCTTGAGACAGAATCTTGTTTCATTGCCAGGCACCAGGCTAGAGTGCAGTGGCATGATCTTGGCTCACTGCACCTCTGCCTCCTGGGTTCAAGCAGTTCTCCTGCCTCAGCCTCCCAAGTAGCTGGGACTACCGGCGCACACCACCATGCCCAGCTAATTTTTGTATTTTAGTAGGGATGGTGTTTCACCATGTTGGCCAGGATGGTCTCTATATCTCTTGACCTCATGATCCGCCCACCTAGGCCTCCCAAAGTGCCGGGATTACAGGAGTGAGCCACCACGCCTGGCGAATTTCTTAGATTTACTTATTAGTTTAGATAAGTAAAAACTTAATGGAAGTTTCAAAATGTATTACAGATTTCTGGAACATGGCAATTTGTTTACTGAGGTAAAAACTTTAGATGGAGAGATTTTTTTTTTTTTTTTTTTTTTTTTTTTTGAGACGGAGTTTCGCTCTTGTTACCCAGGCTGGAGTGCAATGGCGCGATCTCGGCTCACCGCAACCTCTGCCTCCTGGGTTCAGGCAATTCTCCTGCCTCAGCCTCCTGAGTAGCTGGAATTACAGGCACGTGCCACCATGCCCAGCTAATTTTTTGTATTTTTAGTAGAGACGGGGTTTCACCATGTTGACCAGGATGGTCTCGATCTCTTGACCTCGTGATCCACTCGCCTCGGCCTCCCAAAGTGCTGGGATTACAGGCTTGAGCCACCGCGCCCGGCCAGATGGAGAGATTATTTTAAAAAAATAAAGGTATGCTTGTAGCCTTTTTGCATAACTTAAATTACAAAAGAGTTTCATTTCTTTTTAAAAGTTATTAGGCATTTGACAAGTATAGCGCCTGTAGTCCTAGCTTCTTGGGAGGCTGAGGCAGGAGGATTGCTTGAGCCCACAAGTTTGAGGCTGCAGTGAGCTATGATCATGCTACTGCACTCCTGCCTGGGCAACAGAGCAAGATCCTGTCTCAAGAAAACAAAGAGGTATATATGTATTTACATGTGTGCTAATTTGTAGAAACCGAACAGATTTGATTTCTTGCTATTATTTTAGCTTCTTTTGATAATGAGAATGATTGGAATTAATCACTTTTGGGGGAATACACATATTTCACAGAACTAGAAGAACAGACTCGAAAAGCTCTAGAACTGGATCAAGAACGAAAACGAGCAAAAGAAGAAGCAGAGAGGCTTGAAAAGGAGCGTCGAGCTGCTGAAGAGGCAAAATCTGTCATAGCAAAGCAAGCTGCCGACCAGATGAAGAATCAGGAGCAGCTAGTAAGGAACTTATCTTAGTGAAGAAAGTTTAAATAATAAAGCATGGAATGGAGTGAACCCTCTAAAAAGAAAAAACGGAAAGCAACCAGTTTGTACTTTCTGGAAAGCAAGCCAAAGATAACATGTAACTTAATAACAAAATGTGGACAAAAACCTAAAGATTTTATTTCTTCTGAAACAAAACCTAAAAATACAAAAGAATAAGATACCTTTCTATAGATTATTTGTAAATGGAGTCTTCTGTCAGCAAAAGATTCTAATTCACTTGACTTTGGATAGGTTCTGCAGTCAGTCAGTTGCTTTAGATAAATTAATATATGTTCTAGTTCCTGTGAGATAACTATAGGCCATAATCGGTTGGGTTTTTTTGTTTATTTAGTGGACTTGCTAATAATTAGGTGTATGCATGTCATTTAAAAGATCCCGGATTTAAATATTAGTTCACAATTTACTTGCTATGTGTCTTTGGGTCTTTTTGAGCCTCGGCACTCTCCCTTTGGAAAGAGGAAATGATGGCTGGTTGCAGTGGCTCTCACCTATAATCCCAACACTTTGGGAAGCTGAGTTGGGCCGATCATCTGAGGTCAGGAGTTCAAAACCAGCCTGGCTAATGTGGTGAAAACCCATTTCTACTAAAAATACAAAAATTAGCTGGGCACAGTGGTGCACACCTATAATTCTAGCTACTTGGGAGGCTGAGACGGGAAAATCGCTTGAACTTGGGAGGCAGAGGTTGTGGTGAGCCAAGATCATGCCACTGCGCTCCAGCCTGGGGGACAGACACTATGTCTCAAAAAAAAAAAAAAAAAAAAAAAAAGGAATGATGCTAACTGTTACTGATACTACCTGACCCGTTTAGATTATTGTGGAATTAAATGACATGATTTGACGAAGTGTCATTTAAAGTACATAGCATTATATAAATGTTTTTTCTCTTGTAGACTTCAGCAAATAGTTTATTGATGAAAATTTTTTTAAAAAGCTCCTAAGTTACACATTTTAAGTTCCTGCTTCTGAAAGCAGGATTAACTACTTGTCTGTAGAGTAATCATAATCTTTTAATTTTGTCTCCTCCTTAGCTCACTACCTCAAGGACTTTCTGTAATAATAAGCTATTTAAGATCTTAATAAATGCTGTATGGAAAGCTATCTAAGAAAAACATAAACAGCCTAAGCATGTGCATTAAAGCTTTGTTGACTTAACATATCACAAGATTGTTCAAAATATGTTATTTTAATCTTGGGATTATATTGTTTATTTTAGGCAGCAGAACTTGCTGAATTCACTGCCAAGATTGCACTTCTAGAAGAAGCCAAGAAGAAAAAGGAAGAAGAAGCTACTGAGTGGCAGCACAAAGTAATCATTTGTTCATTTACTAGCTTTTATTGGGTAGCTTTTATACCTAGGATCATGCTGACTTTACAGAAATAAATATACTGTCATAATTTAGAGTGGGAAAGATACTTGTGTATGTGTATTGTAAATATTCACTGATATAAACCAAGTATTTTGGGAACACAGAAGAGGTGATTAATTTCTGTGAGTTGTCGGGAGACCCATATACATTTAAGCTGGGTCTTGAATAATGAATTAGGTTTTGGGGGTATGAAAGATTGGGAATACAGACTGAAGAGGTAGTCATTCCAGACGGGGGGAACCGAATGAGTATAGGAAGTAAGAATGTACATAATAGATTTGAGTACAACCAATAAGCAGCTGAGGCTTCGTGTTGTTCAGAAATGTTGGGAGATGTGGCCCTCAAATTAGATAACAAGGTAAAAGGCTTTAAATAAATGCTGTGCTACAGCAAGGCAGTGGAGAGTGTCGATTGACATGGGGCTTAGAATATATCAAAACAGGATTATAACATGATCAGATAACGATTTCATAAAAACCACATAGTAATCAGTGTGAAGAAAGGATTGGGATAGTGGATACTTAAGAGATAAAGAGCCAAACTGAGGATGTGGAAATGAGAATAAAGAGGAGTGGGAAGACTTTTTGTAGTAGATACAAAAGGGCATGGCAGCCAGTGATTGGATATGAAGTTTAATAATTTTAAATTTTTTTAGAGACATGGTCTTACTCTGTGTCCCAGGCTGTGGAGTGCAGTGGCACGGTCTTAGTTCATTGCAGTGTCGAACTCCTGGGCTCAAGGGATCCTCCCACTTTGTCCTCTGCAGTAGCTGAGACTACAGGCATGCACCATCATTTTTATTTTTGTTGAGACAGAGGTCTTGCTAAGTTGCCCAGGTTGGTCTCAAACTGCTGGCCTCAAGCAGCCCTCCCATCTCGGCCTCCCAAAGTGCTGGGATTATAGGTGTAAGCCACTGTGTGCAGCTGATACTGAGATTTCTAATATCAGTCCTAAGTAGATGAAACCACTATTGTCTAAAGTAGCACACAACTGTAAAAGCAGGCCTTGGTTGGAGGGATGGGGGAATATAAGATGAGAGTCAATTCAAATGACGTTAACTCTTAAATGAAAATATAAATTTTTATACCCAGTGATGATATATGGTTTTAGAAGACAATGTTTCTACAATAAAATGTACTTATACAGAAAACAGTTTTCTTTCACTTCTTTTTTTCTAGATGGAGTCTTGCTCTGTCTATCAGGCTGGAATGTAGTGGCGCGATCTGTCTCACTGCTGCCTCTGCCTCCCAGGCCAGGCAATTATCTTGCCTTAGCCTCTCGAGTAGCTGGGATTCCAGGCGCCTGCCACAACACCCAGCTAATTTTTGTATTTTTGGTAGAAATGGTTTCACCATCTTGGCCAGGCTGGTCTTGAACTGCTGACCTTGTGATCCACCTGCCTTGGCATCCCACATGCTGGGATTACAGGCGTGAGCCACCACGCCTAGCCTTCTTTGACTCTTAAGTAAATCTTTGTAGCAGTTTAAATTTCATTGGGAAGTTTTAGATGTATTGAAAATATGTTTACATAAATACAACTGAAGGAATGCCACTGTTAATTTCCCACCCTGCTTTGTTATTAGAATGTTTTAGATCCCTTTTAGGGATGGTTTGTGAAATTTAGAGACATGTAAACTTTAAAAAGTATATTACAGATATCAAGTCTGTGAATTATGGAAAAATAGAAAATGCACACAAACTACACTTATATTCCCATAAACTAGGATCGGTACTGTAGAACCTTAGTATATATCCTTCCACAATACTTCCTGTTTATATATTCAACATGAAATTTTTTTTTTTTAAAGATGGGGTTTCACCATGTTGGCCAGGCTGGTCTTGAACTCCTGACCTCAGGTGATCCACCCACCTCGGCCTCCCAAAGTGCTAGGATTACAGGCGTGAGCCACCACGTCCTACCAACATGAAATCTTACTGTACATACTATTTCGTTTTAGTGAATTTCCATCTCATGTAATGTTAGATTCTATTCAAAATTTCCCAAAAAGTCTCATAGCTAATTTGCCAGACAAGTGTTCAGTGGACTTTGCATTGTCTCTGTTTGCAGACTTTTTAATGAAGGGCAGTTCTCTTTTTATTATTTTGACTGATTGATGGGACCTACAGAATGTCCCATCTCCTGTATTTGTTTAGGTTACTTCGTCGTGTCATTCAGCTTGTCCTTTAACTCCAAGATTTCCTGTGAACCAAAGTTAGATCTAGAACCTGGAGGAATTCAAATTAAATGTTTTTGACTACAGTGCATTAGAGTTGAGACATCCATGTAATTTGATATCTAAACTGGAGCACTTTTGAGAAAAAGGGGGTATTGTTTATAATTACACCAGGACAAGTGTAACAGGACTTTTCCAGGTAAACCAAGATAATATAATCACCCAAACAATTGGTGCTGTTAGATATTTCAGGTTGTATTATATCAGAAGACACTTAATATCTACTTAACTCAGCATTAATTATTTTTTAGTGATGATTGCATTTGAGTAATGACAATCTTATTCCTCCATTATCTGATTACGTTTTCCCCTTGTGGCTCACATAAAATCTACTGGGTGTGGCAATCTTAGGCATTATACGAATATCCATTTCTCATCAACCATTTGCACAACAATTTTAGCAAATGATAATCCTTTCCAGAATTAATAATTCTTTTTTTGCATGTATGCTTGTTTTTCTTTTAACCTGTCACTGACTTGAAGCTCACAGAGTTAGTAATTCTTTTGTGCAATAATAATGTTTTCAATTTTCTCTTTTACCTGTTGGCATTCTTTTATGAAAATAGAGGTTTCATAAATAGGGCTTATTTTAATTACTTTGAAATATATTTTCTATTAAAAAGGCAGTATAACTTGATTTTTTAATTGATATTTAAACTAAGTCGCTCATAAAAGTATTTTTAATATTCAGGCTTTTGCAGCCCAGGAAGACTTGGAAAAGACCAAAGAAGAGTTAAAAACTGTGATGTCTGCCCCTCCACCTCCACCACCACCAGTCATTCCTCCGACAGAAAACGAACATGATGAACATGATGAGAATAATGCTGAGGCTAGTGCTGAATTATCAAATGAAGGGGTAATGAACCATAGAAGCGAGGAAGAACGTGTAACAGAAACACAGAAAAATGAGCGTGTTAAGAAGCAACTTCAGGTATTTAAAATTTGCAGTTGTATGCACATTTGAAATATAGTTTGCATTTTCACCATCTTAGACAAACTTAGTTAAAAAGAACATAGAAGTTTTAATAGTGACTGGCCTTGTGATTGGTTTGTGGGTATTTGGCCTATATTCATGTTATTTCATTTCTTCCGTTGTGTGAACCCATTAGCAAATACCTGTTAGCTTTGTATAATCAGACATTAATTAATGAGTTAATTACAGCTTGACCCATTTTAAAAGGTAGAAAATATTCTAATGCTTTGTAGAAAAACAAATGAATTTTGTTTTTAATCCGTAAAATGTACATTGCGGGCTGGGCACAGTGGCTCATACCTGTAATCCCAGCACTTTGGGAGGCTGAGGCAGATGAAATTGAGAGGCCGGGAGTTCAAGACCAGCCTGGCCAACGTGGTGAAACTCTGTCTCTACCAAAAATACAATAATTAGCTGGGTGTGGTGGGATGAGCCTGTAATCCCAGCTACTTGGGAGGCTGAGGCATGAGAATTGCTTGAACCTGGGAGGTGGAGGTTGCAGTGAGCCGAGATCTTGCCACTGCACTCTAGTCTGGGCAATAGAATGTGACTATGTCTCAAAAAAAAAAAAAAAAAGTACATTAAAAAGAATGATAGTTAATATACTACATTTAAGACATTGTATAATCTTAATTATTTGTTCAGATTTTATATTGGTAAAAGGTCAGTATATTACATGGACATAATTAGGTCAAGTAGAGAATTTTAATATTATGAGAGCTTTTTTCCTAATAAGTTACCTAATATTTTAATTGTTGAAACCTTTAAATATATATGTATGTGTGTGTGTGTATGTATATATATATATATATATATATATATTTTTTTTTTTTTTTTTTTTTTTTTTTCTTTTTTTTTAAGACGGTGTTTTGTTCTTGTTACCCAGGCTGGAGTGCAGTGGCACGATCTCGGCTCACCACAACCTCCACCTCCTGGGTTCAGGCAATTCTCCTGCCTCAGCCTCCTGAGTAGCTGGGCTTACAGGCACACGCCACCATGCCCAGCTAATTTTTTTTATTTTTAGTAGAGACGGGGTTTCACCATGTTGACCAGGATGGTCTCGATCTCTTGACCTCGCGATCCACCCGCCTCGGCCTCCCAAAGTCCTGGGATTACAGGCTTGAGCCACCGCACCCGGCCCTAATCTTTAAATATTAATAAAACAAAATGAGGTGATAGTTACACTAAATATACTGTCTTTTGGAGAAAGCTTCCCTTGAGGTATAGATTTTAAATCTCATAGTAATGTTAGTCTATAATGGCTATATTGAACTTTTAGCCATTTCAAGTATTAGATGAGAAAGTTAAGGAAATTTAGAATAATGTACAAAATATTATGGTTGATAAATGTGTAAATGAAAGGCCATGAATATTCCTTCCTTATCACTGCCACTACCATTACTAAAGCAAACTTATACACTAAAGAAAAAGGTTTCACAGTGGAAATGTTTTGGTATATGTATTTTTGCATCTTGAAGCCATTTCCATAAATTTTTTAAATATAAGAAAAAACTAATATTCTTGCTTTTTATTTTTTAAATACAGGCATTAAGTTCAGAATTAGCCCAAGCCAGAGATGAAACCAAGAAAACACAAAATGATGTTCTTCATGCTGAGAATGTTAAAGCAGGCCGTGATAAGTACAAGACTCTGCGACAGATTCGGCAAGGCAATACAAAACAGCGTATCGATGAGTTTGAAGCAATGTGAGAGCTGTTATTTTGCATATATGTTCTTCATAAGCTGAACCACCAACAGAGAAAAGCAGGCCTTTGCAGATATGATGGAATGCATCCCACCTTGCCAAAGCATTTATACCAGTTTGACTGTGGTAGCTAAAAGATAAATTTAAGGGGAGCTCTTCAGCATTAAGGCAGTATGATACCATGCTTGGTTTTTTTTTTTTCTTTTGGTCCAGGGAATGGAGAATTGTGTCCCATTGCCTCTTTTCACCTTTTTCTTTTTCTTTTTTTTTTTCTGTTGAAGACTAACACTAATTATCATGTCTGACAAATGTGTATGTGTGATTTCAGTTCTATGTACATTTTAAAGGATAATGGTGAACATTTTAATGGGTTTTCCTTGCCCCTTCCATATTTAACCTATATATATTTCCACATTCTCTCTCAGTCACATTTTCTCAGTGTGCCCTTCTCTTATCTGCCATGCCCATTGTCATAATTCCACCATCATACAGATCCAGCAGTGTTTAAGATGATGGTAGGTAGCACAGTGGACAGTCTTTGATCATTATGTAGAATATGGCTATGAATCATGAAAGAGATTAGAACATTTGATAATGTATGTACAGCTGGTGGTTAGTTTTTTTATCCAAATTTAATTACCTTATTGGATATTTGATATTTGGTTATTTAATCACAGTCATCTTTAACAGCTACGTTGATTGGTGTTTTGTCTCCTATAATCCTTTGATGGCTTTTTTGCCTAGCATTTCACAGAGGTTTAGACAGCAATAGTAGTTTCCTAGGAGAGTTTATTGAAGAAACAGCCTCTGCAAGATTTTAAAAGTTTTATTCTTTTATAGACTGATTTAGGAAAACAGATGATTAATAAAAGAAAATATACATTTGTTGGTAAGTGATTTTAATTATTTTTTTAAAACCTGGACCTTTCTGGAAGGGCAGCATATAAAAACATCAGTCCTGAGGAGGGGACAACAATACTACCTCACTACTACACCTGCGATGACTGACTGTTCAAACACAATGGTGTGTGTAAGCTCTATGTTTTATAATTCATAACGATAGCCTCAATCATCAAGAAGTACTTTTGGAATTTCATTTTCCCTCAATATCTTAAAGTGCTAAATTTTTAACTGCCTTTTTATTAAGTCAGACGGTGGGATTCTGATTTCTATTAAAACTGTAAGCTCCTCACTGGTATACTATCATCCTGGAGGGGTGTAGTATGGCTGAGGAAGAGTAAGAGGAAGAGAGAGGTAGGGGTGTGTGTGTGTGTGTGTGTGTGTGTGTGTGTGTGTGTGTGTTGCTAACCTTGTAGCGACCGTGTGTGTGTTGCTAACCTTGTAGCGACTCTGTGTGTGTGTGTGTTTGTGTGTGTGTGCGTGCACGCATGTGTTGCTAACCTTGTAGCATATGACCTTGTAGCATATGAAGAATGTCCGCACCTTGATACAATAAGTTGCATAATCAGTGTATTTGGTTTCTAGATCACTGTGCTTTTTTTTTTTTCCAGTCTCTAAAAAATACTTAAATTTGGTTTGTTAATTTTATTTTAGAAATTATAATTTTTGTTTATATTAATTTTAATTCTATCTTACTGAAATCTTTCCAGTTAGAAGGAGGTTCTAATATTCACATGTTCTGATGCTTTGTTTATTGTACAACAGCTAAATTTGGAGATACATAAAGCCTTGTTTTCTCTGTGTGGTTCAGCTACTTTCCATTTGGTATTACACACTCAAATTTACATTTATCAAAATTGCCATTTTATTAAACATTTTCACGCACAGTAGATTCAGGTTGTGTCTGAAAATATCTCGTGCTTTTTTGATTTTACTGAATTTAAAAGGATTAATCTGGGCAGACATTATGAAGAAGAAAGGTTGCGTTTAATATATTTTTTGAACTTTGTAGGACAAAACATAGCTGGTTAACCTTGAAATGACTGTTGTACCATGGTTGTGCACATGCTTCAGAATCATATGGAAGAGAATATTCCTACTTGCAGTACATTAAATGAATGAATGGTGGACTCTACTATTCATGTTTTGAAACATAAATGTTCATTTTAAAGCAATTGCCGTAGTAGATAAAAACCTGAACTTTCATTGGATTTTTGTTAATTTTCCTCATTTTGGATTATGTGCACTACCATAGCTATATCAGTTTGATACAGTATTGAAAAATTATCAGTTATATTTTGCCGTTTATGATCTATTTTTAGATTAGGATTAAAATGGATTTAATCCATTTTTAAGGCTGTGTGAATTTTTAAAAACTATTTGCAACATGGATTTTCATAGAGATTAAACCAATTAAACTTATCATTAGCAGTCTTGAGCACACGTTCATATAGTCAATGTAAAAATACACTAATGAGTATTTGGTAAATCTCAGTAGGCTTTTACCATTAGCATAATTTTGTGTTGTACAATTAAGTTACAGTTACATCTCTAATTTTGGATAATATTCATTGGTTAACAATAAAGTGACAAAAGCTCATGCCTTCAAGGTCCACTGTTGTTATTTTAACATGGATTTCTTTATATTTCTTGAAAATTAAAATCTCTATCAGAGCTATTAATCACCACATCTTAAAAGTAAGAAATAGGATATAATTTTAAATCCTCATGTATCTACTCTTTCCCCCAAATGATACCTCTTTGGTATAGAAGTAATAGTGATTAATTCTGTGGAAAAGCTAAATTATTAAATTAAATTGACTTTCTTGACAACAAAACGTAATTTCGGGTTTCCAATAATTGCCTTTATTGCATAGTGGTTACCTTCTGTTTCCTGAGAAAGATATACTTCTTGTCATTGATCTCACTATTAAAATTCCAACATTATTTAAAGAACGATATGCTAATAAGTACATTTATTTAAGTACATGTTCTTATTTTAAAGCTCTATTACAGAGCAGTTACTCATATCTAGAAATTGATCACCTTTTTAAAGTCTTACTAATTTTTAACTTACTCTTAACTGATAAATCTATAAAAATAGTAAAAGCTAGATTTTTTTTTTGTTTATAGTAATATCAACTGTCACTTTATTTTTTTCTTTTCTCAAGGACACATAGTGATTACTCTGATCCTATCAGAAAATGGAGTTTTAAATAATACTTTGCTTTGTATCTAATTGGTGTTTTTAAGAACTGGAATGACCACTTACAAAGTTATGTTAGATTTTATTGGAAGTCACTCCTCATTGGAAAAGTGTTTCAATATTAGTGTTGTGGTTTTTTAAAAAAATTCCCACTGTATTCTGTCCCAATATTGATCACCTTGTTGGTTGTTAATGTTTTTAGAAATGAAGATTTTTTTAAAAAAAATTCACAAGCATCCCATTTTACATATGCACAATAAAAACAATTAGTCTTAAAAAGTTAACGGCCGGGTGTGGTGGCTCACCCCTGTAATCCCAGCACTTTAGGAGGCTGAGGCAGGTGGATCACACCGGAAGTTGGGAGTTCAAGACCAACCTGACCGATGTGGAGAAACCCTGTCTCTACTAAAAATACAAAATGTGGTGGGTGTGGTGGCACATGCCTGTAATCCCAGCTACTCAGGAGGCTGAGGCAGGAGAATTGCTTGAACTCGGGAGGTGGAGGTTGCAGTGAGCCGAGGTCATGCCATTGCACTCCAGCCTGGGCAACAAGAGTGAGACTCCATCTCTCTCTCTCTCTCTCTCTCACACACACACACACACACACACACACACACACACACAGTTAAAGCTTGAAACTCAAGTCTAAGGGATTATTAACTTTACCATTTACACTTGCATTTTTTTTTAACATATAAAATATTCTAATGCGGTCTGTCTCATGGAATGACAGTATTCTAGCTCATAAAAAAGCTCTTTGGATTCTGCAAATGTTTTTGATAACTTTATGAAATGTTCAGGCAGTCTGACTCCCCACAGTCTACACTGCTAAGTAGGAAAAACTCGCTCACAATCATCTTCCATATGTTAGCGCTTACCACATTCTTTTTATTTTTTTAAAGAGAAGAGGTTTTTCCATGTTGGTCAGGCTGGTCTCAAACTCCTCACCTCAGGTGATCCACCCACCTCGGCCTCCCAAAGTGCTGGGATTACAGGCATAAGCCATCTAGCCCAGCCGCTTACCACATTCTTATCCTTAGCTTTTCCAATTAAATAATTTAACTTCCAATTTTTCCTTAGTAGACCTACCTCTTACTGTGTACATCTATCAAGATGTAAGAACTACCATTTTCCCTGTGGAAAAATAGTGACTGTGTGGTTCAGCTACTTTCCATTTGGGTAATAGACACTCAGATTTACATTTATCTGTTAAAATTGCCATTTATGTCAATACTTTGACATCCCTTAACCTCTGTGGTACGAGTTTTCTGATTTGGGCTTATATAGACTAATTTAGGAGTTGAAGTATTTCCTACACAATTTTTACATTAAAGATCTTGACTAAGGTGATTATTACCCTATGACACATCCTTTGCATTCAGGTTTATGTTCTGGCTCTGGAGATCCCTAGCTACTTAATGGTTCCAGGTTCTTATTTAATGGTCTTCATTTAGCCAATACATTTTTAATAAGTGCTAGCTATATTCAAGGACTTAGAAGCAAGGTTAGGATGATTGCGACCCTTTGTTTTGGCCTATATAGAGAACTTCGAATATTTATTTATGTTAGCTCTTAGATCATTTGCATTTATCTATTACAGTATCATTTAAAATGGCAGTGCTGTATTGTTGATTCATGCTATTTGTATGCCCAGATTCCTCCATGTTTATAGCTAGCTAGTTGCTTCTATCAATGTGACTTATTATTTTTACCACCCTATTCTAATTGTTCTTCACTTTTCTTTAATCATCATTTTAAATATTTGGATTCATTTTTATATTTATGCATACCATTTAGTTTGCTCCTAAAAATAGTGATACTGGTTTTAGTTTTTTACTTACTAAATCAGTATAGCCAAATATCCATCTTCCTAGTGGTAATATGTGATCAGAATTTCTGAGATTATTTATATGACTAATTTTGGAAAAGTTTCTTTTTATAAAACATGGATTTATTATATGAAATTCTTCTTGCACTGTGTTACAATGTATGCTGTGATATTCCTTTTATTTTTATTTTTTCAACTTAAATGTAATGTTTTATATTGTTTTAGACCTAGGTATCATGTGTTTTTTAGAATCATAAGGCAATATCTCCTTCCTCCCTTTCCTTTATATATATTGAAAAGTCTATGAAATTCAAATCTAGCATTTTAATTCTATATGCTGTCATTCCATTTATGTAATTATTTACTTCTAAGTTTTAGCTGTTTTCATCAAAACAGTTTTGAGATAAAGGAAACTTATACAATAAAAGGAAGATCAGTCAGCAGGAAAATTAGTAACTGACGGAATATGAATGAATGCTCAGTATACATTTCTCAGGTATGCTTGTTTTCTGATAAATTACTTAATTTTAATTTCATAGGCCAAAGTTTAAACACCAGTTAATAAAGATACTCCAAAAGAGAAAGTCTCTAATTTTAAAAGTTTTTCTAACCTAGGAAGACTCATTTTAGACCCAACTGACAAACCAGTCAAATACGAGTAATTGTTAATATCTGTACTAAATATTGAGAAGATGAATAAAGAGTTTTCAGTTAAATCTTTTTTTTTTAATCGTGGTAAAATATACATGAAATTTATTATTTTAAACATTTTCAAGTGTATAATTCATTATGCCATTAACTACATTCACATTGTTGTGTAACTGTCACCACCATCCGTTTTCATCTTCCCAGACTGAAGCCTGTACTTATTAAATGATAATTCTCCATTCTTCCCTCCTCCCCAGTCCCTGGTGACCACTGTTCTTTCTGTCTCTATAAATTTGATGTTTCTAAGTACCTCATAAAAGTGAACTCATACAATATTTGTCCTTTTGTGTCTGGTTTATTTCACTTAGCATAATGTTTTCAGGGTTCATTTGTGTTATATGTATCAGAGTTTTATTCCTCTTTAAGGCTAAAAAATATTCCATCGTATGCATATATCATTTTATTTCTTCATTTATCTGTTGTTGATGGGACACTTGAATTGCTGCTATCATTTGACTACTGTGAATATTGCTGCTTTGAACATTTGTATACAAAATATCTTAGATTCCCTGCTTTCACTTCTTTGGGGTTCATACCCCAGAAATGGAATTGTTTGATCATATGGTAATTCTGTGTTTAATTTTTATTTTGTTTTGTTTTGAGAAGGAGTTTCGCTCTTGTTGCCCAGGCTGGAATGCAATGGCGCGATCGGCTCACTGCAGCCTCTTCCTCCTGAGCTCAAGTGTTTTTTCTGCATCAGCCTGGAGCAGCTGAGATGACAGGCATGCATACCACATCCGGCTAATACTGTATTTTTTCCTTTTTTTTTTTTAGTAGAGGTGGGGTTTCTCCATGTTGGTCAGGCTGGTCTCTAACTCTCGACCTCAGGTGATCTGCCCGCTTTGGCCTCCCAAAGTGCCAGGATTACAGACATAAGTCACCATGCCTAGCCCTGTGTAATTTTTTTGAGGAACTGTCATGATATTTTCCACGGAAGCAGCAGCAGCATTTTACATTCCTGTAACAGTGCCCAAGGTTCTAATTTTTCCACATCCTCACTAACGATTGTGATTGTATGGGTTTTTTTGTTGGTTTGCTTGCTTGCATGCTTCATTTTGATAATAGCCATTCTAATGGTGAAGGAGTACTTCATTGTGGTTTTGACTTGCATTTTTCTTTGATACATTTCTCAAATCATAAGAAGTTGGAAGTCTTTTCATATGCCGATTGGCCATTTATATATCTTCTTTGGAGAAATGTCTATTCAAGTTTTGCCCATTTTAAAAATTGTTTAATTTTCTGTTGTAGGAATTCTTTATATATGGGATTTAAAATATCTATTAGGATTTGGAATATTAATTCCTTTTCAGATATAAGAGTTCCAATTTTTTTCCCATTGTGAACTGTCTTCACCCTTGATATAGTGTAGTTTTCCTTGATGCACAAAAGTTTTTAATTTTGATGAAGTCCAATTTTTTGTTGTTACCTGTGCTTTTGGTTGTTTGTGTTTTTTGAAGAGGAAAAATAGTTTTAAGTGAAGAAGGTGTTACAAAAAGGCAAAGCAGAAGAGAGACTATGTATAGTGGTTAGTCTCTAGACTGTAGAAATGAAAGTAAATAGGTAGAAAATGTGTCAGTGTGCACTGACTGTAGGATGATAAAGCTTGAGTGGGTTGCACCCAGGAATTTATGGAGCCTTGAATCCTACGTTTAGGTGGTTTACTTTGATTTGAAGACAACTGGTAGCTTCGAGAAGACAAAGCTACAGGAGGGAACAATAACTAAACCTTGTTTGAAAAAGAAAACTCGGTGCCATGTAAGGTATACTAGAAAGTGCAGAGGAGACAGCGTAATAGAAGAGCTATGTCTACTATAATTAGCCTAAGAAAGGCCGTGGCCATGGGAATGAATTTAAAGGAAATTCTGAT